CCCAATTACTAATGAAGAACTCTATTCCCTCTTCGTTTCTCAAATTCCATCGGAAATCAGTTGTTTCATGAACCTCCACTCGTTCCTATCCTAGACATTCCCTCTTTGGTTCAACTCGATGTGTTTATTAGACATTCTATTTGCCCCTATTTCATCTCGTATTTGCCGCTCCTTCTTCAGTTTTCCTATCCTGTCCTCTAATTTCCTATTCTGCTTCTTCCCCCATCCTTTTCTGTTCTTCCAATATCTTTTCCTATTTTTCTTCTGCGATTCTTTTCTGTTTCTTCTAATTTCCTGATTTGTTCTTCTGCTATTCTTTCTGTCCTCCAATATCTTCCTGTTCTGTTCCTCTGCTCTCCTGTTCTGTTCTCCCGCCTTTCCTGCTCTGTTCTTCTAACATCTAACTATCATCTGCATTAAAATTCTGAATGCGGTATCTACCCGGCCTCCTGAATTCGGTTTTGCTGCTGGTTCATCGGCGTCGAGCGTAATTTCCACCTTTCATCAAAAACAGTCTCCCGATTATCATCTAATCGGCTTCCACTTTACACTATCCCTACCTTTCCAAAAATACTTCCACCAATTCTTCGTCCGTATCATCTATTCGTGTCCATCTTCTCATTCCTCATCCAACATTATTGCTACGGGCCTCATTCCTTTATTATCTTGAATTTACTGTTCGTCCCCAACCAAAACCGTGATGTTTATACACCTTTCCACTAGTTTCCCAATGGCTCTACCCTGCAATAAATGCTCCTTTCTAAGTGTTCTAAACCGTTATTAAAACACCTCTTTCTAACACCCACTATTCACTTCGGATCTCCAATTCGATAAAATAGATCAGAATCCCAATTATCATACTAATACACAAATACACTGTTTCTATAAAAAAAAAATTTCCACAGTCACATATACATTACAACAAATAATTCCCTTCCTAACCACATAAACAATGCATCCAAATAAACCAATATACACTCGTAATTAACTTCTTTAAAATTATCAACATCAAAATCAAAGTGTGCAATTTCAACTGTACACATTACATGATTTGCATATCTAAATTAACTCCCTATTTGTGACCTAATAACCACACTCAATTATAGTTTTAATATCGTCTTCGGAAACTCGCTATCACCAAAATACATACATTCAACTGCTGGTAAACATCTAAAATATTCTAAACTGCTTACAAAATCATGTTCCAATACTAACCAAAATTATACCCTGCGTATAATACGATTAATATTTATCCTCAAATCCAATTTATGCACATCATAAACTTCAATTGTTTTGTCAAATTCCCTGAGCCACATTCTTAAATACACGAGTCTCATCTGTTCGGGCGCCGAGCTGTGACGTACCTTGGAAACAGGTACTTTCACGACAAAAATAAATCATATAAAGACGGTACATTTCGGAATGGTCTCCAGGGATGAACGCTGCATTCGAAGAATAATCAAATGAACTTATTTGTCAATTTGCAGGTTTAATAATTGGACACGCTATATAACATTAAAGTCTTTTACAATTCGCCAGTGCGCAAGGCCTTTTAATATTCGTGCACGATAACGCTACCTTTGAAACTTCCGCATGTCCACCGGCTGACTGGAGTCGAGCGGCCGCGTGGCAACGGCCTGAGCGGCTGCGCTCGCAAACTCCCTTCCGTCCCGAAGTTGTCAGGTAAGCCATTTCGGCCGTTGGGCTCCGTGTACTGGCCCCAACACACAGCGGCGTCCCGTCGCAGCCCCGACCACCAGCCGCTCCCTCAATCCCCACTCGATGTTCGCCACAGTGCGGCGTTACTGCATACATCCAGCGACATGAATGCGTGTCTATCATCACTTAATTCACTGTAATGTTTTTCACGAATTCCGCCGTCCTGGTTCCACGACTGTTTCTTCTAATCATGCTATACTCTATTTTAGCACCTGCTAATCTGCCCCACTCAATAGCTATAATCAGTTCCACATGTTGGTAATTTCCACCACACATTGTTTGGGCAGCGCAGCCATCCGCATTGCGCCCGACGGCTTCTCGTCGATATTCCACCGGCACCAGCGCCCCCTCTCGCAATATTACACCGGCGCTTCGTGGCTTCCGTTCGTTACTACAACCCGTCACTACGTCGCGCACCTGCCCCCGGTTTGACGTTGGTGCAGCGCGCGGCGGCGTCACTACGCTGATCGAATTCAGCGTTTCTTTCTTATAATTAATATCAGTTTTGCTAATTATTATGTGGAAACGTTCTTCGCTTTCCAATAGTAATATAG